AATATCAGTTATATTTCCTTCTGAATTTTATTTTATTTTGAAATCTATTTTTGATGTATATCAATCAGATGTAAATTGGACGTCAATCGGCTATAAATAAGATAGGTTAAATTTTAGCCAATTTGTGATGTATATCAATCGGATGTAAATCGGACGTCAATCAGCTATAAATAAGATAGGTTGATTTTTAGCTGATTTTTGACGTATGCCAATTGGCAATAAGTATGCCAATTGGCTATAAATAAGATAGGTCGAATTTCAGCTGATTTTTGATGTATATCAATCAGCAATAAGTATGCCAATCGGCTATAAATAAGATAGGTTGAATTTCAGCTGATTTTTGATGTATATCAATCGGATGTAAATCGGACGTCAATCGGCTATAAATAAGATAGGTTAAATTTAGCCAATTTGTGATGTATATCAATCAGATATAAATCGAATGTCAATCAGCTATAAATAAGATAGGTCAAATTTTAGCCGATTTGTGATGTATATCAATCGGATGTAAATCGAACGTCAATCAGCTATAAATAAGATGGGTCGAATTTTAGCCAATTTTTGACATATGCCAATCGGCTATAAATAAGATAGATCGAATTTCAGCCGATTCTTGGCCAATTTCTAGTGTATACTAATCGGCTAGACTGATTTTTGGATAATTTGCCAAATTTAGGCTGAATTTAGGCCAATTTTTCGCATGTCTGATTTTTTTAATTTTGACCAGTGTATAGTAATAATAAAGAATATGTATCATGATTATAAAGTAATGTATTGCTAATTAAAAGTAAATATATAAATGATTTAAATTAGATGTATAATAACTTTGTAGTAAATATATATGTTCTTTGCAATAAATATATAGTAAATTCATAATACAAATATAGTAATTGTATATAGATATATGCTATTCTATTAGAAAAAGATAAATCCAGTTCAAATTTGTCAAATCTGATTAATTCAAATTCAGTTTCGTTTTTAAGTTAAAAATATGAAATGTTAATAACATTTTTTGAAAATAAAGTAAATTGTTAATAAAAGAAAATATTTGAATGATCTTACTTATTATATTAATTCATATAGCTAAGTTTCATATTTTGCATCTTATGATATTATAATTTGATTAGTTTCTTATCTTCATTGTCATTCTTACTTAAGTTTTTAGTTATTGTCTAACTTATATCATTAAACATTAATATATATTAACATAACAAGCAAAGAGACAGAGATAAAGTATACAATTACCTTTATCATCTTAACTTTCTGAGACTTCAAGTAGATCGATGATATTTTCTTGAATATTATTAATGCTATTTCTATTTTATAGTTATTTCCAAATCTTGTTAGAATTACTTGCTTTACCTTTGTTTTCTGAAACACAAAAATTATTGCTTAATATCAGATTTCATTATACATATTATATAGTAGATAATTAATGTGGTAATGCATATTTATAATACATTTTTATGCATTTCTCTAGCTACACATCCTATTTCATGCTTTGACTCTGGTAAAAGAATCAATTTATTATTATAAATATTGTAAAAGATATATTAAAATAAAGAATGTATAATAAAAGAATGAATAAAATAAAACTTATAAAATATGTTTTTAAAATTATATCAAATTATGTGCAGAGTTCGCAAAGAATAAGTAAAATAAAGTAAATAAGTGTAATTTTCGTAAAGTATAAATAAAAATGCAATTTTTTAAAAAATAAAAAAATATTGTTGTGTAAGTTCGAAAATTTTAAATAAAGTTTAGTTTAAAGAAATACTCTACTCTATTCTACCAACGAAAGTTTTGAGGCGATATTTTTTTTGGATCTACTTGGCACCATACAATCTACTGTAATATTATCAAGTTCTTTGATGGCCTTGGTGTTGTAAAAAATATAATGTACCTTAAATGCTTCTCTAATCATTAATGCAAGTCGTTCCATTATCCCACATCTTTTGAGTTTGTTAATGTTAGTACCCTTTAAATATCTGTTCAATATTTTTTCAGCAATCTCTAGATATAAATTCTTCGATTCCAAGTTCGTTGGCGCAGTCATTTGTCTTTCTCTTGTTCGTATTTCTTTAAATTCTTGTAACTTTTGCAGTGAACCTTTTATTAAATTTACTACGAAAGTCTGTTAAAACCCGTTTAGAATGACAAATTACCTCTTCTGCTTCATTTACTATATAGCTCATAGTTAAATATTTTGACAATAAGACTTTCGATAGCTGCGTCTGATGGATTCCTGCATCGAAGGAAAAGGCATTTTATTTCCTCATGCCAAAGACGAGCTAGTGATCTTTCTTCAGGCTGCGTAATTCCAGGCTTTGTGATTTGTAAAATTGCAGTAGGCAAATTGGATATATTGATTAAAGAATATACTAATTGATCAAGATCTAAAGATGCTGAAGATTTCAATACTGCAGACAGCAGTATGTTAACATATACACCAACGAAACATAACTTGTCTTCCAAAAAGATCGAAATTACAGATCTGTTACAATTAACAGAAAGTGAAGAAGAAACAGAAGAAACTGGTAAATATATAATGACTCTTTACTTTGTGTAATGTTATTTTTATTTATGAAAAACTGCTTTATTAGGTTATTATCACGAAGAAAGAACAAAAGTGATAAAAGCCAATAAAAAAGACCAAAAACAAAAAAATGATGACATTCACGAAACCTTTGACGATAATGTGGAAGTTGTCAAAAATTCTAATAAGAAGATAGGCAAATATGTCAAAATTTCATTACTTTAAGTCTTTTAGATCAATTTATTAATATATTTAACAATTTAATTGATTTTAGGAAGACCCGGAGCATTTAAGGATATGACAAACTCTTTTGAAGTTTGCCAATGGTTAGTAATAGAAAGGCTGGATGTTTTAATGATGGCGAACCAGATGTTCAATGC